AGGTAGGCAGCAGCGCCACTGAGTTAAATCCATGGTGCTTCCTTAATTTTTTTTTTTTTTTGTACTGGAGATTGAACTCAGGACCTTGGGCTTGCTGGGCAGGGGGCAGGTGGTGGCACCATTGAGCTAAATCCCCCGCTCCTTCCTTAACATTTTGTTTTGTTTTTTTGTTTTTGAGACAGGGTCTCACTATGTAGTTGAGACTGTCTTGGAACTCACTATGTAGCCCAGGCTGGTCTCGAACTCACAGTGATCCTCCTGCCTCAGCCTCCCGAGTGCTGGGATTACAGGCATGCACCACCACACCTGGCCCTTAACATTTTTTAATATCTATAGGACCTTTAGTGATGTCTTCTCTTTCATTCTTAAAATTGGTAATATCTGGTTTCTCTTTCTTGATCAGGTTTGCTTGAGATTTATCAATTTTATTAATTTTTTCAAAGAATCGAATTTTGGCTTCATTTGTTGTGTAGAATTATGTGCATTCAAAAAAATTAACATTTACCTCTTTTGGCATAAGATTCTATGAATTTTAACACACAGATTTGTGAAATATCACCAAAACCAAGATACACAATAGTTCCATCACTTCATAAAACTTCATGAAGTTTTTTTTTTATGTTCTTAACCTTTCTTATGTTCTTAACCCATGGAACCCATTGATTTGTTACCAGTTCTGATTGGTCCAGAATGTTATAGAAATGGAACCACAAAGTATGCATCTTCTTTATAAAATTTTTTTCCACGTGGCGTTTCCACTCAGCTTCACAGACAGGTTTTATTCAAAACTCTGTGTCCTCTTCAGACTAGTTTCTTTCATTCAGCACAATGCCTTTTTCATTCAATTACTGCTGAATATTGCCGAGTAGGATTCTACCTGTATATCTCAAAGTTGTTTATCCATTCAATCACAGAAGGGCTTTTAGTTTGTTTCTGAATTTGATGAACTATGAACAGAGCTACTATAAACATGTCCGGACATGTTTTTATATAAAATATGTTTTTATCTCTCTAGAGTAAACATGTAGAAGTGGAATTACTGGATCATGTGGTAAGTATATGTTTAATTCTAGAGGAGACTGTGAAACCCTTTACCAGAGTAGCTACACTACCAGGTAATTTATGATTTGAAAATATTCCTCTCAGTTAATAGTTTGTATTTTATTCTCTTGCTGGTGTATTTCACAGATTAAAACTTTTTAATTTTGACAAACTCATTTTTTTTCTTTAGGGCTTTTGCTGTCATGTCTAAAAATAACACAAGGTTTGTTTTCTTCCAAAAGTTTTGTAGTTTTACACTTTATATTAGATATATAGTTTATTTTTCACTTTGTTGTAAATCACGAATTATAAGTTGAGAAATTTTATTTTATAGAGATATCCACTTGTTCTGTTTGATCAAAAGTTTATTCTTTGTCTATTGAATTGCATTTGCATCTTTATAAAAAATAAATTAGAAGCCAGGCGTGGTAGCATATGTTTTTAGTTCCAGCTACTTGGAAGGCTAAGGCAGGAGGATCATAAGTTCAAGGCTAGCTTGGGCAACTTAGGGAGACCCTATCTCAAAATATTTTTAAAAGGCTAAGGATGGGGCTGGGGATTTAGCTCAGTGGTTCTGCTGCCTGCCTCACAAACACAAAGTCCCTAGTTCAATCCCTGGTAAAAAAAATTAAATAAGGCTAAGGATGAAATTCAATGGCAGAGAGCCTCTGACTTCAATCCCCAGTTTTAAAAAAATTGGGGGGTGAGTCTATTTCTGAACCTTCTAATTTGTTGCAGTATTGATATACATGTCTATCCCTTTGCCAAACCACACCCTGATTATTATACTTTTATGATAGCTGTTTAAAATGTAGTACTGTGTGTCACAAAACTTTGTTCTTTTAACAAATCTTTTAGCTATCCTAGTTCACTTAGTATTTCGTAAAACTTTTAGAATCAACATACCTTTATGTAGAAAAAAAAATCTGGCTGGAGTTTATATTAGAATTGTATTACATCTATTCATCAACTTAAGAATAATTGGCATGTCAATTATATTGAATCTTACAACCCACAAACACTTTAAATCTCTCCATTTATTTTGGCCTTTGATATTCTTCATTTGAATTTTGTAGATTTTAATATACCTATCATGCCTATATTTGGTTCAGTTTATTCTTAGTCTTACTATTTTTGGAGGTATTTTAAATGGTATTTAAATTTTTTAATTTCAAGTTTTTCTTACCAGTATATATAATTATAATGGATATTTGTGTATGTACTTTTGTTTATAGACTGACTGTGTCCTTCAAAAATCCTTATGTTCAAACTCTAATCCCCAATGTGATGGCATTTGGAAGTGGGGCCTTTGAAAGATAATTTGGCCATGAGAATGCAACCTTCATAAAGATTAGAGTCTGTTATAGTTTGGATTTGGAATGTCTCCCAAAGGCTCAAGTATTGAAGACTTGTTTCCTAGTGCAGCAATGTTTAAAGGTGGAGCTTCACTGAAGTGATTTGATTGTGAAGGCTCTGATCTAATTAGTGGTTAAGGGCCGGGACTTTAGCTCAGTGGTTCTACCGCCTGCCTTGCAAGCTCAAGGTCCTGAGTTCGATCCCCAGTACCAAAAAAAAAAAAAAAAAAAA